GAAGCAATCGTGTGCGTAGACATGAAGACGAAAGGGGAGAGCAGATGGAGTACCTGCTGGGCGGTGAGAGGCTGAGGGAGAAAGCGAGAGGAAGGGACATAGAGTCAGAGAGGAAGGAGACCTTGACGAGGGCAGCGTCCGTCACCAGGGACAGTGACGTCACGGTGGCCTGACCAAGAGGTGAGAATTCAGAAGACGCCTTGACTTTAACCGCTGTTAGTTAGGAGAGACGTACCAGAGAAGCTCTTGGAAGAGAATAGAAACAGAAGCCTGACTGCACGGGGTAAGTTCTGAGCAACCATTTCTCTCTAAGTTGCTATATCTAGTAATAAAGTGGCCTGTCAGGCAAAACAGGTGTCACACGTGCACTCGGCAGGGAGGAGAGAGACAGAGAGACACAGAGAAAGGGAAACGAGAGATCACCCTTACAGGGGAATGGCCGTGCCACAATCCCTTCTCCCTTCTCTCAGGATTTTGGGGGTGCATGCACCCATGCCCTGTGCGATTTTCAGCCACCAGGTTCAGGTCACGTGGGAGTCCAGCATCGCCATGCCACCTGCTGGCCCCTCATCTGAATCCTATTCTGATTATTTCAAACAAAATGTAGCTGAGGGCTAACCACAATGGCTGCGTGTGCTGCATTTGGCCCACTGACCATGAGCTTCTAGAACCCTTCTCCCGGAAGTTTAATAGGGAAGCATCTCAAAGAAGCAGCAAGGTCAAGAACGCCCACGACAGTGTGCAGCATGCACGTGTGTCTGTCAAGGGTGCCTCGCTTCTGTTTTCCCGAGGTGTGTAAACATAAAGTCGCTGAGGAGGAGGATTCAGTAGGGAGCCCTAAAATGTCAGAGAGGAGCTGTCTCATGGGGTGAGAGGAGTGGGGTGAAGAGGACGATTATTGGAAAGACAGAAGATGCCCACGGATGGGTCTCCCAGGAAGTGGCTAGGATGTGGAGAGGTCCCACGCCCCTCATTATCTGTGTGGCTGGAGGACGCTTAGCATGTCCCTTGGCGGGGCCAGAGAGACCCTGCGTGCTTGAGAGGAACCTGGTAATGTTCTACTGGCTGTTGGGGAACAGGAGGTGATGAGCGTGAGGACCAGTGAGGATGGGTGTGTGGGTTGGTTTTCATTTCATGAGTGTCTGTGTGACACACCAAGAGCAGAAGACAGAACAGAGAGAGACTCACGTGCTGGCCCAAGAGCTCCTGGCCTCGCCCGAGTCTGCAGTCTGAACTGAGCTCGTGGGCTACCAGGCCGCGTCCCAGTCATCCACTTGCTGCCATGATCACTTTCCCACAGGTAATTCCGTGAATTACCTCCTCCTCCATAGTTCTCCTTGAGTTATCTCTTATTTTTGTATATAAAAGTAGAAAAAAATCATTGCTTTCACTGTTTTGTATTTTTCCAAATATGCATTTTTTTTTGGAGAGGTTTTTGCTATAGGGCGCGTGCGCTCGCCAGACAGAGAGAGACATAGAGACAGAAAGTGAGAAATCACCCCCCAGGGGGGATGGTCACGCCGCAATCCCTTCTCCTCCATTCTCCTCTCAGGATCTTAGGCACGCACGCACACATGCCTGGCGTGAGTTTAAACCACCGGGTCTGGGACGCGAACCACGGTCGACCACATGGGAGTCCAGCAACACAGCCATTACGCCAACTGCTGGTCCCTCCAAATATGCATTTTTAAAACATACACAACTCTGGGGAACCAGCAGTTAGCGTAATGGCTATGTCGCTGGACTCCCACATAGTCGACCGCGGTTCGTGTCCCGGACCCGGTGGCTTAAAACTCACGCCGGGCGCGTGTGCGTGCGTGCCCAAGATCCCGAGAGGAGAATGGAGGAGAAGGGATTGCGGCGTGACCATCCCCCCTGGGGGGTGATTTCTCACTTTCTGTCTCTATGTCTCTCTCTGTGTGTCTGGCGAGCGCACGCGCCCTACAATGAAAATCTCTCTCAAAAAAAAAAAAAAAACATACACAACTCTGACATCTTGTGAATGGTTTATATCTATTTCACTTAAAATAACCTCGTATGTACTTAGTAGAACATGGTACCATCCACTGGGAAAAGGGGACCCATCAGTTGACAGAGTTCTCTGGGTCATTCAGAGCACGGCATTTTTCCATGTAAGAATAACTCTCTGTGGCCTTGCTTTTTTATCCCGCAGCTCAGCTTGGATGGCCTGAGCTGAATAAAATGGACCAAGGCAGGGCATCTTTGTCTGACAATTTTAAAGTGATGCTATTTGAATACCAAGGAGTTTGAAGCTTGGCGGCAGAGCCTTCCAAATTAATCTAGTCTGGAAAAACGAAAATGCCATCAAGTAACTGGAGATTTGTCAGCTGCCCTGCTTACACTTTTCACAGAAAACATAAAGGTTGGCAGATTATAGATGAAAGGTCAGTTCGGCAAAAAAGAAAATATGTCAAACAATCTCATAACACAGGGAACAGAGGATGGAAGTTAGAAGCCACGACTGGATTCCCAGAAGGAGATGAGTCTTTCGGCGCTGGGCAAACATCAGGGCCATCTCCACGCTATTCATTTTGGTGGCTACTTCTTTATGCTGAGTCTCCAAAATTCAGTTTAAAAAGCACTGACAATACCTGTCTTCCTGAGGAAGACTTACTCTGCCTCCGTTTTATTTCTTTTCTTTAAAACTGGTCAGAAGGGGAAAAAATGTACTTTTTTTTACCCTGTTCTTACTTTCACCTGTTCCATGCCTGAACCAAAACTCTACAGTGAGGACAAGTGGAGAAGCCTGGTCTTCACGGTGAGAGGCTTCCGCGAGTCCACCCTCACGAAGGACTGGAGGGCACCAGGCAGCCGCAGTGCCATGTACGAGTGGGATCTTCTGCTCAGAGACACGGGGCAGAGGCTGGCTCTAAAGCCTAGTGGTTGAGGCAGCCAGATCCCACATAGCTGACTATGGCTTGAATCCTGGCCCCATGTGCATGTGCGTGCATGTCCCAAATCCCAGCGGGATGGAGAAACAGAGGCGAAGGGGTTGTGGTGTGACCACGCCCCATTGGCAATTGCTTCGCTCTTCTCCTTCTCTCTCTCTGTCTCTGTCTCTCTCTGATAAGAGTGCATGTGCCCACTTGCAATTAAGGAAGAAAAGCAAAACAAAGTGATTCATGCCTTTGGGACAGATTGCTGTTCTGGTCTGGGAGCACGAGTGGGCCTGGAGGTGCCGCAGTAAGGTATTGAGCCCACAGAGCCAGGATGCTGGGATTATGGGGCCTCTGTCCGAGTTTCAGTGGGTGCAGCACTGGGAGTTCGCAGGCCTGTTAAAATGTCTTCCCTCTGCACTTCAGGTGCAGGTGGCATGCAAAATGTCATCACCATTCTGTCTAATAACGTGGAATGTATGTCACACTCTGAACTGCCAGACTTGCACTAAACACGCGTTTGAAGGAGGCTTCCTATTTTTTGTGAGCGCCTCCACAGAGCCTTAAAAATAACCGACCAAAAGGCTGTCACCTAGCACGGCGGGCCAGGAGTCATGCATGTCTGTTGACACCTGGCCTCAACATTCTGGTTTCATGTCTCTACAGTGTTATTTTCTATCAGATTGCCTTCATCTCTCTCTTAAGCCTCTGCATTAACACACATGCTAAATATGCAAATTTTTTTGACCAGTAGAAACCTACACATAAAAAGCTAACATCAGTAAAGTTGCAAAACGTGATCTGGTGGTCAGGAAAACACTCCCGTGTCAGGAGCTACATGCGCAGCGTGTGCTGAGACAGCGAGGACTTCGGCGTAATCATTCCAGTTTGCATCGCTAGATCCAAATGGACTGATGACAGAATTTGCTATCCAATCTCCAAAAAAAAAAAAAATGTCTTCCCCACTAAGCTTTCTTAATTAAATCATTGGCTCCTGCTTGCTGGGAAGGACTGATTCTTACAAGTGTATCCAATTTCCTGCTAGTGGTAACTTTAATTCTTCCTGGAATAGCAGGAAACATTAATTTTGCATTGGACCCAGGAGCCTCAGGAAGCTGGGATTATAGGCACTGTTATCCCACCCGTTTTTCTTCTAAAATGAAATAAAAGTACTGGTCCAACGTTGTGGGTTGAGGGATGGGTAGTGACAGAGTAGAGAAAAGGACATTAATTTCAGGATGGGGACAGCTGCCCGGCACTATCTCCCTTTGGATTTCGGTTCGTATGATACCGTGGTGGGTTATTAATATGTATGATCTGTACTTTATTCAAACATTATAAATCTATGCAGAAGTCTGGTGTTTGGGTTTTCCTTTATAGCTTTCATTCTTCTTCCCAGAATTATCTCATTTTGATCGGGAAACTTTTGCATAAAAAGCACACACTGAGAACTCGCATTTCCATACTATAAATATTAAAAGGGGGTTAAGCTTTACAGTTTCTTCTCCCATCCCAATGGGAGGAAAGTTAGCCTTCTAATCAGGGGGCCTATAATAATGTTCTCTTTCTTCACAAGCCAAAAAATAAACTTAAAATTGGATTGCAATATGAAATTGTACTGTGGTTCTTTTCATTTATGTAAATTGTGGAAGGCTTGGTACTGCCCTGACTTCTGTATGAAGGAGATCCTACAGATCTGGCAGTTTTCTGAGTCGTTAAGAATGGTTGGTTGGTTTATTTTTTGAGGACCAAGCCACATCCAGATCTTCTCTTATGGATTGCGATTAAAGTGCTTTTTACTGGCTAATTTTAAAGCGTGGCTTCGTCGCAGTGAATCTGTAGCAATACGGAAGATGGAAATGGAAGTAGAAAACGCAATGTCTTCCTCGTAGCTTTTTAGCGTCCTTGCAGACTCCTGTCTCCCGTTTATTGTCATTTTTGTTAGCATACAGGGGTATCATGGATTTTGGCTCCTGTGGAAATAGAAGGAATGTGTGAGATATTTCATTTGGGTGTGCTATCTGCTGGCCACACAATCCGGGCTGCTAGACTCCGTGATGGGAAATGAATGTGCTAATTGGTGCTTTTTTTTTTTTCTTTCAGGAAACCTGCCATATGAATATAAAATAGTGATTGCTGGGAATCATGAACTGACATTCGATAAGGAATTCATGGCTGACCTTGTTAAACAGGACTACTACCGCTTCCCCTCTGTGTCCAAGTTGAAACCGGAGGACTTTGACAATGTGCAGTCCCTCCTGACAAACAGCATTTACTTACAAGATTCGGAGGTGACGGTGAAGGGATTCAGGCTATACGGAGCACCTTGGTAAGTGTCCGTTCAAACCGTTTCCCCGTTCCATGTAACAGTGCAGGGCCAAGGACGCATGGCGCGGGGTTAGCTGCTTTAAGCAAACGTGGTTTTAGGGAGGGACCCTCGCCGCTGCCTTTCCCGCAGAACGCACACCCCGTGCTGTTCCGGGATGCCACACTTGTTTTCACAGCGACACAGATTCCTGCAGGCAGGAGCAGCGGGCACAGGGCTTTGGGAGGTAATCTGCGTTTGTGGGAGGAGTGGCATACGTGTCTGTGTGACACAGAGGATGTGAGAGGAGAAGGCCACTGTGTCACCCCTCACCCCGCTTTGGCCTCTCTGAACACTCCTTCAACCTTAGGTAACTTCTTTCCCTCTCATTTTATACTGGAAGCAGTCATGAAATATCTTGCTTAGATTAGGGTTTCTCAGATCTCTCTGCACATCACAAGGACCAGGCCTATAGAAATAGAGATTATGAAGCTCTACCCCCAGAGTCCCTGGTAACCTTTCTGAGATATAGCTCAGCAATCTGCTTTCCCCAAAAGATTTTTGCCACAGAGCATGTGCACTCATTGGAAAGTCAGAGAGAGAGAGCGAGAGAGAGAGAGAGAAAGCACCCCCCAGGGTAAATAGCCACGCTGCAATCCCTTCTGTTCCATTCTCCTCTTGGGATTTTGGGCATGCACACACACGCACCCAGCATGAATATCAAGCCACTGGACCTGGGACTCGAAGCATGGTAAACTACACGGGAGTCCAGCAACGTGACCGTTATGCCATCTGCTGGACCTAGAATCTGTATTTTTGTTTAAGCTCTCCAGACAAGGCTGATATACAGTTGAATTCGCAGAACTAAGCTCCAGAAAACTCGAAGCGAGCACACACCCTTTGAGGCTAGACAGGAAGCCACTCGATCTTGGCCCCTGCCAGTTGTCAGGTTTAAAGTTACTGCACAGGGACTGAGCCTCAGTTTTTGCATCTCCGAGATGGTGAACTGAATTCCTACTTCAGGGGGTGTGATGAAAAGTGCATAGGGGAGGCTTGCACTGGGCTTAGAAGAGTGGCTAGTAGTTGCCTAGGACAATAACCTTTTCCTGGCTGTGTCTCTGCCATGGCTTAGTTATGTGAAGTTGGCAAGTTACTTAGCCCCGTTGGGTCAGGTTGTCATTTTTAAAATGGGTGTGTTGGGAACCAGCAGTTGGCATAACGGCTATGTTGCTGGACTCCCATGTAGTCAACTGCGGTTTGCGTCCCGGACCCGGTGGCTTAAAACTCACGCCAGGCGCATGTGCATGCATGCCCAAGATCCCAAGAGGAGAATGGAGGAGAAGGGATTGCGGCGTGACCATCCCCCCTGGGTGGTGATTTCTCGCTTTCTGTCTGTATGTCTCTCTCTGTCTGGCTGGCGAGCACACACGCCCTATAGCGAAAAACCTCTCCAAAAAAAATAAAAAATAAAAAAAGTAAATAAAATAAAATAAAATGGGTGTGTTAGAACGAATGACCATCCATATAGGAGTATTCTAGGGTTTTTTTTTTCCCCCTGAGGGCTATTTGTTTATATAAAGCAGACCTGAACTTCACTTACCTAATCTGGAAAAGTGCCCCGGTCCCTCCCTAGGAGTTGAGGATAAGATTGGAAGAAGATAAGCCGAGTGAATTCAGAGTGGACATTTCACCAGTTTTATTTGTGCCCTGTTTGTGAAAAGTTGACGGCGGAGATACATTCTGTAATTTTTTCCCCAGCTTTACTAGAAGGACTGGTGAGTGGGCATAGGAAGTACATGTGTGTTTAAAGTCCACCTGACAGCCATGGCGAACTCTCCATTGCAAGAGGAGAATGAAGGAGAAGGGATTGCGGCATGACCATCCCCCCTGGGTGGTGATTTCTCGCTTTCTGTCTGTATGTCTCTCTCTGTCTGGCTGGCGAGCACACACGCCCTATAGCGAAAAACCTCTCCAAAAAAAATAAAAAATAAAAAAAGTAAATAAAATAAAATAAAATGGGTGTGTTAGAACGAATGACCATCCATATAGGAGTATTCTAGGGTTTTTTTTTTCCCCCTGAGGGCTATTTGTTTATATAAAGCAGACCTGAACTTCACTTACCTAATCTGGAAAAGTGCCCCGGTCCCTCCCTAGGAGTTGAGGATAAGATTGGAAGAAGATAAGCCGAGTGAATTCAGAGTGGACATTTCACCAGTTTTATTTGTGCCCTGTTTGTGAAAAGTTGACGGCGGAGATACATTCTGTAATTTTTTCCCCAGCTTTACTGGAAGGACTGGTGAGTGGGCATAGGAAGTACATGTGTGTTTAAAGTCCACCTGACAGCCATGGCGAACTCTCCATTGGTACCTCCTCTGTACCAGGCACTGTTCTCAGACCTTTATGTGTCTTATCTCATTTAATCCTCCAAGTACTTTCAGAACTGGGCATTACTACGATTCTCATTTGACAGATGAGGAAACTCTGGCACAGAAGGTAAAGTGGCTACTTAAGAATCCCCACTGCTCTTAGGCAGTAGCACCCTGATGTGAACCCAGCAAGTCTGCTCCAGGACCTGCGCATGGCTGCGGGGTGGCAGTGGGGACGGCGTGGTCACTGGTGGTTATGATCTGCAGAGCCAGCGTACATCCACTTTGTTAACGTACATTAATTTATTTCTTATGCACTAGGAGGTGGTAACGGGCAAGAGAATAAGCAGCCGAAATGAGCCCTGTCAGGCTATAGTCTGAAAACTGATGTTGGGGTTATATGGGGTGTTGACATCAGCATTTCTGGGTAAAGGGCAGAGGAGAGAGAGAGAGCATTTCCAGCTTCACCGTCCGGTTCTTGATGATGCAATTGGTGAGGAGTGACCTCTGATTGGCAGATCAGCACTCTATATAAATTAAGATAATTTTTTTCAATAATTTAGGACCACTTTTGAAAAATCTTCAACAGGCAAGCACAGTGAAGGCTGTTCGTGAAGAGAAGGAAGACTTGCAGAAATCTTGGGATTGCTAGTTGCTGAAATGGTGACAGCAACTAGCTTCCTCCATTATCTGAGCTCATTCAGATCTGTTTAGGATCGGGTTTGGCTAAACCAGATTAAGCAGTGGTGAATGATTTGGGGTCTTGAAGCACATCTTGTAGCATCTTAAGAAATTTAAAAGAAAATGAAGTAATGCAGTTGTGAGATGTGATGTCGCGATCTGGTTTTGGTGGTACAGGTTGCAGACACAGTTTGTATCCGAACTGGATTAGTATCAGTTAAATCTTTTAATTTTAATGTTGGAGACGGTGGTAAAATAAAAAATAATAATAATAATAGGTAGCATTCATTAGTCTTCTGAAATATTCCTGGAGTTTTTGTTACATATGATGTGTGTTGGGATTTCCACAAAGCTTGAACTATTTCCTGTGGAGAACCTCTTTACAATGATGGAGACCTTTAACTGGGATTCGCCCCATCCATTGGAATTGCTGTATGTTGCATTTTGACCAAGAATACAGAGGTTGACAAGAAAGAAACTTCAGTTTCATCGTATATTTTTGGAGCCATCAGTAGAGTCTGGATCGACTGTGAAGGTGTTTTATTAAAATTAACATTCCCAGGACTGGTGATAATCTGAACCTGGATTTAGGACAGTGAGCGTTTCTGTGCAGTGTTCCCCATCTCTCCACTTACTCAGCCTTGGGGCTGTGGATGCATTTCATAATACCTCTGCTTCTGTTTTCTCATCTTGAGAAGATGGAAGAGAACGCTGCCCCCTCGCCCGGCTGTCACGAAGTCAGAGATGACGCATCCGCAGCCAACGCTGTCCTAGCCTAGAGTAAGCGTGTGGCACGCGTGACCATGATAGCGCAGGAGGGGTACTGTGCTGCTGCTCCCATTCTGCGTTCTGTCCTCCTCCCCCATAAATGAGAGCTGCTGTACTCGGGGTCAGACACGAGGGGTACTGTGCTCCTGCTCCCATTCTGCATTCTGTCCTCCTCCGCCATAAATGAGAGCTGCTGTACTCGGGGTCAGATGGCTGGGTTCTAGCCCTCACCCAGCTCTGCCGATTGGATGATCCGTTACTCCCCGCCTACGCTATGAAACAAGGGAATGAGGTCTGGCCTGGTGTCTCTCAAATGTCCCCCATTTCAGTGGTCATGGAAGTGAGAATACACTTTTTCCAAGGGAATACGTATTTATGGATATGCAGTGTAAGCAGAGTTTGGGGGAATTTAGACCACAGCTACCACATTTTTGCCTTCGGATCTTAATTTTCCCTCCCTGAGATTCAGCTAGAGGTGATGGGTGCTTAGTAACCCGATAGCTATTTCAACCCCAAATAACCTAAATGGATCAAGTTTGGATCCTATGCTTTTCTGGTGGCTTTTCTGGAGGAAATACTCAGTTCTAAATTGCTGCTATTGCCAGCAGTTTTCATTTAAAAACAGAAATCAAGAATGAGAACCCCGGTACTAAGGCTTTCTGTCCTTTCACAGGTTTCTCAAAAGTGACTGCAGTCAGGCCAGGAAAATAACTAATACTCCTGTATTTAAAGAATGCATGACTGTGACCTGGTTGGCTCCAGAGAAGGAATATTTGCCTTTATTCATTACAAGTTTATAACTTGTAGCACAGCCGAAAGCTACCTAGAGGCCGGCAGAATTAAAGTAGTGCTTCCTCATTTACAATTTGACAGGAATTTGTACGTAGAAGATAACTTAGAACACACTGGGGCATTCTTACGTGTTTGCTGCGGAAGCTGTGGTATTGTCAGGTCTGAGGAAGAGGATTTGGATGTGGTGTGATGGGCCTGGGGAAATTGGGGGACCTAAACTGAGGAAGACATAGGTGGGATCCCAGGTCCAGGAAGGAGAAGGGCTCCCTGGGAAAGGGGGCAAGAGTCCAGTTCCCGGGGTCACCCCTGTTTTAGGAGGCCTTAAGACAGGTTTTGTGGCTTCTGAATCTATTCTTTCACCATCTCACTCTTTTAAAAATCCTGAAGAAAGAAATCAGATACCTTCTTTCACCAGTT